TGAGCCTGGTCCCTAAATCCACTCAATATACCCTGAGCTTCCTCGGCCTCCCTCCGGTCCTTAGCCGCCAGTTTAATAAAAGCCTCCGGCCCTCCCAGAAGAGGTTTTCTTACCCTTTGTCGCAAGACTTATTAAATCTCTTTCGCTCATCAACGGCGGTATGAGTGACAATCGGGTTGCTCCCCTCTGCCGGCGTCAACAAAGGGTGCTCGGATGTAGCCGGATTAATATTTTTTCAAAAAGAAGCTTTAATTCTTGTTAAAGGCCTTATTCAGATTACAGTCGACCATCCTACTTTGAAATATCCATTATTCTCTGCCAAAAATTGCAATAAAAATATTTACAATATAATATCTGAACTATCCAGAAATTATCGAAAACTTTAATCTTAAATTTATCTTGTTATGAAACACCTTATAAGATGTAAATAACTGAATACAGTTGAAAATTAGTTTTAGGAAGATGAAAATATTTATCTTTGTCCAGGTTCAACTAAAACAAATATCCTTACAAAAATAAGAAGAATTTTTTTTAAACTATTCAGCCCAGAGAGATATAAATATTTCGCTTTATGAAGACTAACACATAAATCTCTCAAACAGACCCAAACAGATGTATGAAATTTGGGATAATTATTGACAATCCTTGTGCCCTGAACAATGAAAATCGGTTTTAGGACTTCATCCCTAGGGGTTATGGGATGGTAATAAGGATACTTGGAAGGGGGGTTGTGCTCCTCAGGCACTGCAGGCTTCTCCCTTATTCTTGTAAGCGGGGTTGTGCTCCTCAGGCACTGCAGCCTTCTGGCTTATAGTACCTTCCTAGTTCCTTAGTTCAGTGCAATAGATTCAATCCTTCTCGTTAGAAGTATCAGGTCATTGAATGTCGCTGCTGCAATTTGATTCCCTAAGTTTTTTCCATACGTTAGGTTAAATCTCCATTGAGCTGTTGTTTCGCATTCGGAGATATGAGTGGCTGTTTCCTCCTCCTCATTTCATAATCTGCAAATGGGATCATCGCTGTATATGCCCATGTTGTGTAGATGTTTTCTCAGATGCCAGCGACCGGTTAGTCGTCCTACCACTCCACTGAGTTTGGCCCTCTCCAATCGCAGCAATGTTTTTGCCAGTCTCGGTGAGGGTTGTTTCATCATACGTTTACTATGTCTAGCACCGCTAGAGTTTATCCATTTTTCCTTTTGTTTTGCTGGGAACCATTCTGCGATGGAGGATTCTATATATGCTTTTGTTATCCCAGGGCACCCAAGATATCGTCAGGTGTTGTCTTTTCCCAGGTTTTGGAGATTTTGGATGCATTCACTTTTTGATGTGATTCTTTAACATGCTAATGCTTTAATGGCTACTTGCCTATCCGATCTTATGAGGATTTTTTGCCAGTTACCCTTTTTTAAGTGTTCTTCCCTAATGAGTTTTATTGCTCATGTTTTGGGCTTGTACAGAAAACGCCTGATCCAGTTCCTTCGTTTGTTTTGGAGCCATCTGTATACCATATCATTGTATTTGATGCTCTCCTGTGTTCTTCCTCTCCTTTATAGTCCATTGAGACTTTATAGGATGTTGTAAATAATGTTTTCGGGACCATATAGTCAGTCCCCATTTCTAAGAATTGATTATCCCTAGGGGTTAAAAGTAATTATCTTCCTAATTCAACCGAAACAAATACCTTAAAATATCTGACAAACAGATCAAACCAATGGTATGAAATTCGGGACAATTACCAGTAATGCCAGGAACTTCCATCTAAATTAAATAAAAGAGTTTAAGAATCCACCATCGGTGCATAAAAGTATTTCGTCCACAAATAACCTTTAATTTCTAACGAGCAGATACAACCATAATTTGAGACAATTATTGACCTTGATCGTGCTCTTAACGTCGGCAAAGTTAGCTGAAAATCATTTTAAGAATTTTTCCCAATGCAAATACTTTTTGTGATAAACGAACCAAAACTAACATTCTTTAATATCTCATAAACAGATCAAAACATTAAATGTAATTCCGGTCACTTATTGACCATTTGCGCCCTGAACACCGGACAAGGATTGCTTAAAATCGGATTTACGAAATTGCCCTGGGGAAAAATTATTTCCCTTTGTGGCGATTGTGGCGAACCGACAAATATATTTTAATGTATCAAATAGATCAAAACAATCGTACGAAATTAAGGACAATTATTGACTACTAGTGCCCGAATTTCGGTAATAGATTAAAATCGGCTTTATAAATTCATCCCACAGGGAAAAAGATATTTGTCTTTCAGACGAGTCGTCAAAAACAAAGATATTTTAATGTCAGACAAACACATCAAAAAAGTGTACAAAAATCTCGTCAATTATTGATCCCTGGTGCGCCAAACACCTGACAAAATAAGATAAAATATTTATTAAGAAAATACCTGAGAGAAATACAAGTAGGGTGCTTTTTGATGGATCAATAAATATCCTTTAATATCTTACAAACAGTTCAAAACAATTGTATGAAATTAAGATCAACTATTGACTACTAGATTCCTAAATTATTGAAAAAATAAGATAATTTTTTTGAAATAATTCACCCTAAAGAGTTAAAAGTAGTGAGCTTTCTAACGAGCAAATCAATATTCTTTTAGTATCTCACAAACAAATCAAAACAATTGAATGAATTTCTGGTCAATTATTGACAACTAGTGCCTTAAAAGTCTGACAAAATTAGGTGCAATTGGTTTTATTCACTCCCAACAAGGAAATAAATGTATTCCGCTTTGTGACGAGCCAACAAATACACTTGAACATTCGAAAAAGATCGAAACAATTAGTACAATTATTGAACAATTGTGCCCTGAACTTACATCAAAATTATATAGAAATTTGTTTTAAATTGTTTTGCGAGTTCACCCCCGAACAGTAAGTATTTTGCTTTATAAAGCGGGAACAAATGTCTTAATATATCACACACAGATCAAAATAATCGTATCAACATTGGGAAAATTATTGATCGATATTGTGTGCCTTTAACATTTTACAAAATTAGGTGAAAAGGTTCAATAAATATCCTTCAATATCTCACAAACATATCAAAGCAATTAGATGGTCAACTATTGTGTCAATTATTCAGAAATCGTGGATGCAGTCTGGTGTGATGTAGGTTTCAGAAAAACATTTTCTTTATCGTGCCAACGTTTCGATCTTTTTTGAGATCATCTTCAGGGCCTGGGATTTACAAACATTGTTTAAATTTAAAAAATACATATAGGATGTGGAAAAAAGTGAATTTATACAATGCAAAATATGTTTTTTATATTCATTCAAAGTATTTCTACTCAGTCAAAGTGTTTGTTTTCAGTGTAATTTTGCCATTCTTGCGTGCCGAGTTGGAGAGTGCTAGTGAGATTTGCTGTTTCATGTTTATATACGTTGGGTTTTGAAGGGGTGGGGAAGGAAGTAGGTGTAGAAAAGACATTTTTGTATAAGGCGTCGGCTTCTTTGAGGTGAAAAGAGCCGACGAAGGGAAAAAAACGTTGGTAAAGGTTCGAAAACATTGTTAAATTTAAACAATGTTTGTAAATCCCAGGGCCTGAAGATGATCTCAGTAAAGATCGAAACGTTGGCACGATAAAGAAAATGTTTTTCTGAAACTTACATCACACCAGACCGCATCTCACGATTTCTGAATAATCTTCGACTAACGGTCACTAATCACTACACATTGTGTCAATTATTGATCACTAGAGCATTACACAGACAAATAATATGAGCATCTTTTTCAAGAGTTCACACTAAAGAGAACAACGTATTTAGAGTGACAATCCTGCATATAAGACTCGTAAACAGATGAAAAAAATCGTATGAAGTTCACGAAATATATTGACCACTAGTGCCTTAAACTCCTGGAAAAAAATAAAATGAAATTTTTCGTTGAATTCACCGCCAAAAGGTAATTGAGTTTGTGACGAGTCACCACTTAAACTCGTAAATATATAGATCAAAACAATTGTATGAAATTCTGTTCAATTATAGACGACTAGTCCTTGTCAAAATAAGATAAAAACCTATTGTAAGAATTTTCCCCAAAGGGATATAAACATTTCTTTTTTGGCCAATAAAATATAGCTGACAGACATAACAAACTCCAAGGTAGTCTTAGTGGGCGTGGTTAAATTAACTGACTTTTGATGGGTGTGATCAAAGCGTTAATTTTTTTCCAATTATTTATGTCTTTTATTTTTATTTATCTCAAACTGTCTGAGATGTCAAAGAAAGTTTTACGTTTCTAATCTAGGCTACTCTCATGTATATCTCTTTTTTTATATACATTGTAAATAAGTCTAGTCTAGGATTAGTTGATTTTTATCCCTAAGCTTAAACTTGAGGCTTCTTTAGGTTTAATTAATATATAAATATATCCAATAAGCCTTGGGTTTGTACAGATTTATACTCAAACACGCAAATACATCCAAAGAGCATAATCACTGACATAACTAACGGTCTAGAACCCATTTTAAGGATTTTTCATGCTAAGGAAGTATAATCAACATTTCTCGTGCTAAGGGCCTTTTCGTTTTTCCTTTTATGTCTTCGCTTCTGTTTTATTATCTGGTTTAATTAAAAAGAGGAAAAAACACAACAACGTAGTTGACGTAAATGAAAGGAGTAATTTCCCCTTTATTTCCCTTCGTCGTCTTCACAAATGCCTCTCGCAAAGTTTATCGCCAAACGTTTACCACCCCGTCGTGGACGATTCGATGGGGAGGAAAAGAAAAGATCTCTCGCCGGGGAAAATTAAACCGTAAGAGTCAAAGAAAAACATTTAAACGTTATGAACAAATGTAATATTTTCGAAGGTTTATGTAATATCCCACATTGGTTTTTACTGTATTACAGATGGCCCTATTATTTGCGTACAAATTTTAATCAGCGCTGATGACGCTTTATTTTTCCACGTTTAAAGATATTTCTCAACCAAGGACTTTAAGTAGAATAAGTAGCAGATTAAGATTGTTACCTCAATGACTTTGTTGAGTGAAATGTTTTCGCTCTTGATCTGGCAATATTTCGCCTTGTAAGCAGCCATCGTACGGAGGGACTCTTCCAACCTGTAAAAAAATTAGTAATACTTAAATTTATGTTATTAGTTGTATATTCAACAAAAAAATCAATGTTTGCTAATATAAATATACAAAAATGCCTATTGAAATTTGAATAGTTTTTTCATAAAAATTAATCTATAAGTAATTTATTGATTTATTTAGTTCTTATTTTTTCTGGCATATGTTAATTGTTTGATCAACTTGATAAAGCTCTTGGTTTGGCGTGGGTTGGTTTGTTGTCCCAGAGAGTTGAAATCGCAGAAGAAGTATCATCTATAAGTAACCCTTCTCAGAATTGGCCATACACGGTCGACCCACGGACACTTACTTGCGGCCAAAGCCCGTGTATGTGTCCGACATGCAGAGAAAAGTTCTGAATGTGACTCAACGTGAACTGAAGTTGTCTTTCCTCGGCTCCATACAGAGAGCGAGTAGGAATGCCATCCGATATTAGAATTGTGTTCGCGTACAGCAGGGTACTTTTGGATCCAATATTTCGAGTTTTTAGAAAACTGGGGTATTTTTGTGTATAAAGATTTTTATAGTAGTTGATCTTATTTTTTGTTAACTTTTATTTATTTGCAGTTCTCTCTTACTCCTAATTTGTCTTTTTCTTTCTTTCTGTTAATTTTTTCTCACTCTTTTTCAATCTATCACTCACTCTTTCCTCTATCTTTCTCACTCTTCACCGTAAGTTTTGAAAAGGTTCACGAGACCAAAATTGGCGTGGTAAAATAAAACATATCATCGTCATTATCATCATCTCTCTCTCCCTTTTTTCTTCCTTTCTTCCTCTCTCACACACCCCTATCTCTCTCTTTTTCTCTCTGTCTCTCTCTCTCTCTCTCTCTCTCTCTCTCTCTCTCTCTCTCTCTCTCTCTCTCTCTCTCTCCACTTTAAGTTCTAAGGCCCACGAGACCAAATTTTGCGTGATAAAATAAAATATATCATCATCTCTCTTTCTCTCTATCTCTCTCTCTCCACTTTAAGTTCTAAGGCCCACGAGACCAAATTTTGCGTGATAAAATAAAATATATCATCATCTCTCTCTCTCTCTCTCTCTCTCTCTCTCTCCCTCTCTCCACTTTAAGTTCTGATAAGGCCCACGAGACCAAATTTTGCGTGGTAAAATAAAATATATCATCCTTATTATCATCATCATCATCTCTCTATCCCTCTCCTTCTCCCCCCTCTCACACTCTCTTTCTCATCACTACACGAATCTTTTCCCTTATTTCGATTTTTAGAGGTAACGGGTATTTCTGTATATAAAGTATATATAAAGATTATATATTGCAACAAGTTTGGTGATAGATGTATCCTGTGTTACTTTTTCGTGAGAATCTATAGACGTGAATATGCGTGTAACACACGATGGCGTAATATCGTGCTCTTGGACCTCTAACTTCGGCGGTGGTACGTACACACGTATGAACGAGACAGACATACATACACATATTTTATACCGAAATTAGAATATCGGAAACAAAAAGAAATAATAACTGAAAATAGCAAAAATGTTCCATACTGTGATTGATAAAATATCGTTTGTTTTGTTGTATAATGTCGAAACCGTAAGTTTTACGGTAAACACATAAATATGTGTAAAACCGTGATAAATGGTGTTACTGTAGTAAATTTCAAAAACTACAAAATATACATTTTTCGTCGGTCGAAAGTGTGTTGCTAAAGGCGGATTGCAAATCGGTAAGTTACTGCCAGAGATTCCGTTAAATTTTGATTTCAAAAGCCATATCCTTTTTGCAGGATAATAAATCATCGAAACCGAGTTATGTACGCCAGTTGCGGCAAAGGTCAAGAGATCACATTCATTGTCCCCCGCCACACGAGAGAAAAGAGCCACTCGGAAAAGGAAACGCCCGACGAATCGCCGCACCCATAAATCCAACCGGCGTCGGGAATTTCTTTCATAACACGCAGGAAAAAATATCATTCTCTAAAGTGGAAGAAAAGGCATTCAGCGTCGACAAAAAGTTTGCCTCATCACTCACTCAGGCTCTTATCATCGTCACATTTTACTCTTTTAGCTCCCTTGTGATTTTTTCCCTCTAAATTTTTTTATCCAGAACACAATTGAAATAAATGAGGTAAATTATTACTAAATTCAGCCACTCGGGTTGCATTTATTTTCGAGTTATGCCGAAAAAATGCAAGCCTAAGGTAATTTTTATCGATTCGATATTCCCCAGGGGCTATCTTGAAGTATAACGAGGGGTTTCCCTTACAAAAAGGGGTTGTTTTTCTACCAGAAGGCAGGGAAATTGCTCAATAATAACTTGTTTACATCAATTACAATTTACTCGGTATACAACTCCATCACGAAAGGAGGTATAGGTATGTTTTTACATACTCGGTACTCAAAAGAAAATTAGATTCAATTAATAAATCAAAAATAATATTTAATTAACATTTACCAACCTCAAATCCTAAGGTTATATGAAAATTGAACATTTGCAAGGCAAATGTTATGAGATCGCCATTCCCCAAGGATATTTCAGTCGGAGTTATAATGTATACCGATCCGTTTCTGACGATTTTGAACATTAAAATTTTTAAAGAATAATAAAGTTAAATTTAGTTAAGATTTTACGAGTAAATAAATTAAAAACTAGAAGTATTTCATATTTGAGACTTTTCTATTGAAACAAACTTTGAAAAATTCCTGAACTTTTAATTAGTTGTATATATTATATTTTGTATTGGCCAGCCGGAAAAAAATGAATTCTCTCAGAGGCATTTGAAATTTGAAGCAACAGCAAAGTTAGCGTTAACCTTTAATAAATAAAAAGAATTGCTTATCAGCGATTTTTCATTTGGAATAAATTTTCAATTTAAAAAAATCCTCCTGTTTTAATTTAATCACAGATTTAAAATATTTTATACTGGCCAGCCAAAAAACAATCTACTTCATTCAGTGATTTTTGAAATTTTACAGAATAGCAAAGTTTATTTTTATTATTATTATTTTTTTACTGGCTTTAAGTTTCCTCATTAGCAAAGTTAGTTGTTTACGAGCTAACCTATAATAAAAACAAGAAGTATTTAATATCTGCGATTTTTCTTTTGTAGTAAATTATCAAAAATCTATTGCCCTTTTCATTTCACCTCACACAAACTTATAATAATTTTAATTTTTTTATATACTATATTTCCTACTGGCCAGCCACAAAAACCTCGAGTTAAAAATATTGAAAGTTTAAAAACCAGCAAAGTTAAAGTTAATAAATGGTTAATATAAATTCCCTATTTTTCGTGGTCCGCTTGACCAATTAATAACATTGAATTAATTAAGGTTTTAAGTCGAGATAAAAAAGTCAGTCTGAGGAGCGGGATTCGAACCTACGACCTTCGGCTTGATACGCCGCTACTCTACCACTTGAGCTATCGTGACTTCGATCACCTCGGGCACTAACTTCCCACATCAACTCCACCTTTTGAATTTTCCCTCCTTTTTGCCATTTTTCAAATGTGGTGTAATCGGATTGGATTCTCGGCGACAAATGAAATAGCCACGGAGAGCTTTAGTGAAGTGTACTTTTTCAATTCATTAAATTCACTATTTTTCGTGGTCCGCTTGACCAATTAATAACATTCAATTAATTAATGTTTTAAGTCGAGTCGAGAAGGTCGTGGGTTCGAATCCCGCTCGTGACTTTGGCTTTTTATCTCGACTTAAAACCTTAATTAAATGAAGGTTAATATAAAGTTAATCTATAATAAAAATGCGATTTTTCTTTTGGAGTAAATTAAAAAAAAAATCTCTGCCCTTTTAATTTCGTCTCAAATAGGCTTAAAATAATTAAAGTTTGATTATATATTATGTTTTGTACTGGCTAGCCGGAAAAAAATCGGTTTCATTTAGAGGGCGTTGAAATTTGAAAGAATAGCAAAGTTAGATTTTACGAGCTAACATATAATAAAAACTAGAAGCATTTCTGTTTTCTTTGCCCCCCAGTAAATGCCCCCCCCCCAAAAAAAAAATTAAATTTCACCTCACACGCGTTAAATATCTAAATCTTTGTTTTGTATGTATTTCAAACTGGACAGTCAGTTTAATCAACAAACACGATTTAAACACTCAACAAACGATTTAACATGCTTTATTACCTACTCAATCGAAATGAAAATTACCATTAAAACCAAACTTTCGACAAACATACACCTACTCAAACCTACTTGGATATACGGTGTCAAGCTCTGAATCGCCCGAATAATTCAATATTCAAAGTTTACAAAGCTTTTAATCTTAAATTTTAAGACTAATAATTGTTTCTGCCCCTGTTTACGTAAACAATACTATACACAGAAATCTTCACTGCCAACAGTTTTTTCATCCATCAAAACATATTACAGACGTTTTAATAGTAAATTACAAAATCACACTAACACACAGATTATTCCTCGCTTTACACGTAAATGAACGAAAAGAGTATGGATAAGAGAGCACTTAAATTGTTAATATAAATGTTTTAATGCAGAGCGGCTGCCAATGGGTTCTCTATAACGCCGGTAATCATAAATTGAAATTCAATCAGCTGGTTGTGCATAATACATGTACAGTTGTAGATAAAAATAAATTAAGTAATAAAAAAATTACATATATTTTATACTGGCCAGCCGGAAAAAAATCGAGTTTATTACGGGGCTCCGATTAGATCTAAATGCTAGGCAGGTCAGTCAGACGGAATGCCTAATCTGCCCCTTAATTGAATTCGAAACTTTCCTTTTCATTTAATAAATTAAAAATGCCTATGTCAAATGCGCTGTTGTTTACATTGAAAATGACTGAGATAAAATAAACCATTTGACAGTGTAAACTCAGTAGAGATTGCTCCCTAGTGATATGTGTCGACCGCTAATCTTTCCTTGTTTAATTCATGGAAATGTCTTTTACCTTAATTCAAAGGCTTAGTCAACAGGGTTCCTCTTGAATCTAATTTTAATTATAATCCCCCGAATGCAAATATTTTATCTTGGCACGGTTG